AATTTTATTATTTTATTACTAGTGCAGCCATGAGAACTAAAGGACAGGGCGGGGGGAATTCTCCCCCTCCCTAGCAATAACCAATGAACGGTTATGTCTAGACCACTAGGGCTTTCCAATTTGAGAAATTTGGGATGCAACATCTGGTAACAACTCTAGAAAGACTGCTTGGCTGTTAACCTCTGCTTCAGTGACTGCTCACTACAACCTGGGCAAGTTGGTTAACCCACTGCACCTCAGCTTCCTCGGCTGTAAAATGAGAATATTAGAACCTTCTGCGTAGGGCTATTTTCAGGATTAAATGAGCTATTGTATATAAGCTTTTAGACTAGTACCTGGCACTTAATAAGTGCTCAATGAACGTTAACTAATATTAACCAGGATTTGGTTAGATTTGAAAAAAACAAAACAAAACAGAACCACCTTGCTATCTACGGCCCCTTGCTGGACAACAGGGGTCAGTACACTGCTATCTACATGGAGAAGCTACATTAAGATGCTTAATTGGAGTAAAAAAAAAGGTTTTCAATGTTTGAGGAAACATCGATGCTTAACTTCAGAAAATTTTTGCAAAACGGCCTTGAGAAAAATCAGTTGCAATAAAATTAAGCAATTAGTGAGAAGTATGACGTTTTTAAAAATTGTTTTTTAGACTTGACTTGCTCTTTGGGGGGAATGACTTTTATATGTTTGACATTTTCAATCAATTACATTGTTTTTGATTACCAAATTGTTCTAACTTTGGCCAGTGGGCATACCTTCAAACTGGCTCCCATGTCCTTTTGAAATGACCTCGTTTTTCTTGGATACTTCCTTACTTTCTGTCAGGTGTTCCACGCACTCTTATTCAGTCCCAGCTTTTGACCGGGCCTCAGCCATTTCTCCAAGGAGCTCCGGTACCTTCTAGTGGAGAGTGGTATTTAGAGATCAAAATCTAGGTGCCAAGGATAGTCATTGTTTCTAGGCTCTGAGTTCATATTATTTTCACTTCAAAGTTAACAAAATATCGTTTATTTCATTGTTTTCATACTTCTACATCTTATTTTACACTGGAGTTTTTGCACCTAATGACATTAACAAATACCTCTTTTAATACTTCCCCCAACCTTATTAGATAACTTATGAACCCTATTTTAAAAGGAGAAAACAAACGAGAGCTGCCCATGGTTATATCAACGGCAGTGTAAGGATCTGAACCCAGCCAGCTACTTCTAACAGGGAAGCGAGCCCCAGGCATTCAGAGGGGCTTCTCCAGGAAGCAAAGCGTCCTTAGAAAAGGTACCAGGGAGACCATGAGGGTTGGGGATGCAGGAACCAGCGTGTGGGGTGAACAGACCTGTCCTGACCGACTCCTCTAAACCCGAAGAGCAGGACGTGGCGAGCTGCCGCGTGAGAAAACCGTCAGGGGGGCGGGGTGTAGGCAGGGCCGCTGTCTCGCTTCGGATCGGCCCAGCGGTCCCTAAAGCGCACACACAGCCAGGAACCCCACACGCTCACAAACCGAAGATGAAAAAAACCTGTGTACTGCACGCCGCGACCCCCAAACCAAACCCACGCGACCTGACCTGCCTCCAGGTAGGGCCCGCCCATCCGCCAATTAGAGGGAGCCTGGAGCGCGAGGGCGGGACAAAACAGAAGCGTGTCCAATGAGGTATCAGCACACGATCACTTCAGGGCGGAGCATTTAAGAGCCCAGTGGTGAGGCTGTGGGCTTGACCTATCAGAGGGGGTGACTCGCATCGTGGGACCAACAGCCAATCAGAAGAGCGCTCTCACCCGACTCGCCCAGCCCACACAGCTCACCTTTCTCGTAACGCCGCAGGCGGCAGTGCGGCGGCCACTGGCTAGGAGTCCTAGGAACGGTGCTGTGTTCGGCGTCCTCTCTTCATCCCCGCGCTGCGGACGCTGGGGCCGTGCAGGCGTCTTGTGGGACATGGCGCACTCGGGCAGCGAGGACGTGCAGGGCCAGGAAGAGGAGACTTTTCTGTACTTTGCCTATGGCAGCAACCTAATGAGCAAGCGGATTCACCTCCAAAACCCCTCGGCCGCCTTCTGCTCCGTGGCCCGCCTGCAGGTCAGTGCTGCCCGCCCGGCCCCTGCGACGTTGTGCCCACTCAACCGACGAGGGGGCCAGGATCCTGAGTAGTCGCACGGGGCCAGGAATGCAGCTCTTCCTGATAAGAGTACATTTTATCTTCACGATCTGGCAGGTGCCTTCCTGGGCAAGCCCACCTCGCGCTCACGGCCCTGTGCTTCACCCCCACTGAGCTATGCCACCCCAGCAGCGGTGCCCCCCAAGGCTGCCGTGAACTCCCCCGCCTGACGTTCCCACAAGCTGTTCCTTTTGCTCAGATCTGGCCTCTCTTTTGTCCACTAACGTAGGGGCATCCTCACAGAATCCATTCACTTGGTACCTGTGAGAAGCCTTCTCTGACCCAAGTCAGGGAATCCATTACTTTCTGTTCTGTACATACCTTTGCTACAGGACCTGTCACCTGGTATTGTATAAATTCGCTTACCTATCTTTTGCTCCCGATCTGAGAGATCCTGAACTGTGTCTTATTCCTAGCAAGGGCTGTGCTCAGTTAAGTCAAGTGGCTGGATGAACCACAACCCATCTGGGTAAAAAAATCAGTGCTTTTCAGTACAGTCCATTCATTCATTTAGTACACATTCTTCAAGCACTTACCTGGAGATGAAGATGACTGAGTAAAGTTGGCTGTTTTGAGGACTTCCCAGTCTATAGGAGAAACATGCACATTATATACAAAACCTTTTGACTTTTGAACTAGACAAACATGGTCTCTGCTATCATCGCCAGGGTTCTTAGTTGCAATCAACAGAAAATGGCTGACTTAAGCAGAAAAAGAATGTGTTGAAAGGCTGTTAAGAGAGCTCACAGAATGACCAGGAGGTAGGACCATAAAGCTGACAAAACAGGCAGGCATAAAGGGAGACGCTGCAACTGTAATACAGCCAGTGTCACAGACAGAACCAGCCCAGGCCACTGCTGCACCACTGCTAAACTTGGTAAACGTGGAGACACTGCCTCATGCATCACCAAATACCATCTGCTCTGGACCCTGCCTGTCACTGTCACTACACCCCTGCAATTCCTGAAGCCCAGGTGTGGCCACCACCACCAGTGTGGAGCTTCTACTGTCCGTGGGCACTAGCTCCTAATTCAGAGCCCAAGAGGATGTCATGATTGACTAAGTCTTGGCCACATACTCATGCCCTGACTGCAGGCAAAGGTGGGAGAACCAACTTCTGGTGTTCAAAGCTTTAAAAATAGGAGTCAGGCCTACCCCCCCACCCCCACCCCGGTTCATAAGGTAGGGAATTCCCCAAATGTGGGAAGAAGTTCAGATGCTTATAGTTGGGACCCAGGGAAGAGCTATCGAGCAAATGATTATTCAGTTACAGGTATGGTTAGTCTTTAAAAGGAGACACGTTGTACCTTCCTCCCAATTTTTTGTGAACCTAAAACTGCTTTGTTGAGTGTGTGAGGAGGCTGTAGCATGACTGGAGAGGTCGGGAAGAGTCACTTGGTACAGGACCACAGAGGCCAGAGAAGACATTGGGCTTTATCTTGAGAGCAATGAAAATACCCATTACACAACTTCAGCAAAAGAAAGATCAGATTTACATCATGGAAAGCTCATCTGGTTGCTCCGGAAAATGGATTGGAAAAGGGAGGGCAACAGTGGATGTGGGGGGACCCCAATTAGAAAGCTTTTGTAGCAGTCCATACTGAAGATAATGGCACCTTGAGTAGTACATAGCAGTGGAGGGTAGATGGGTTTGGGCGATATTTAGGAGGTAACAATGTTACCTCCATGGTGATTGATTGTAAAGGGAGGAGGAGATAATAGGGATGACTAAGGTTTTTGGTGCAACAGGGTGGTGGTGGTGGTGATTCATTTTGTAAAGAGAAGAGGAGAATCAGGTTTGGAAGGGAAAATCAAGCTCAGTTTGAATGTAGTTTGAGATGATTGTTTTACATCCCAGGGAGCTGAAAAATATTAGTGAACATTTATTAAGTCCTCACTATGTGCTAGGCCCCGTTCTGAGTACATTGGAAGCTCACAAAGCATGGATTAAAAGATGATTGGAATATTAGATGGTATTTGAAACCATTGGAGGGGACAAGATTGGTTTGAGCAAGTTGCTGAATGAACAGGGAAAAGGGCCTAAACTGAGCCCTTAGAAATTCCAACATTTAAAGACCAGGTCGTGGAGGAGGAGTTAGGAAAGGGAACTGAGGTGATCAGTGGGGTGGTTAACAATGTCAGAAGCAGCTGGGAAATGGAACAAGATGAAGAATGAAAATTGTCTATTGGATTTAGTAATAGACAACCCGTTCCCAGTGCGGCTGTAACTGTTACCAGATCCTCTGATGTCCTGCCGGGGCTGCTTGGTCCTAGAACATCCGGTATACCAGTAGAAGGTTCTGGTCACCCAAAGCAACGTTTTTCCTAAAATGTCTGACAAGGTTTGTAAGAAAGTAAAGGTGACAGGGATAAAATATAGACCTTAGATTTATTATCTAGCCCAACCTTTTAATCTTATTATTAAGAAAACTGAGCTCTGGAAAGATGGAAAAAAATCTTCCTCGACAAAACAGCCAAGTAAGGATTTTTAATCTTCCCCAGGACTCTGTCCTCTGATTACCCATCTCTGTAAAGGAAGAAGCGAAACTGGAAACCTGGCTCCATTACTTATGAGTTATGAGACCTTAGGCAACTTCTTTAATCGTTGGAAGCCACGGTTTTTCTTGCTGTTAAATAGGTATAATAAAGTTGTTAGCAGAATAAAAATGAGGGTCTGTATAAAGTTCATAACACAGTGTGTAAAACCCAGTAATTTTCCGGTAAATGTTAGCTGCTCTTATTATTATAGATATATTAGTACAATTTGTGAATATTGATGTTCATAAGTATATAAATCACCCTCAAGTGCCAGTTCCCTTAGTGCAAGCATAGTGATATGTGCTTGTAGGATACTCTGTACATATATAAAAGTAGAGAGAATTTTATAACCCCTATATAGCCTTCACCCAGTCTCATTAATTTTGTATACTATGATTGCCTCTAAGTTAAAAATCTATGAGTAAGTAGACTGGGAAGTAATTTTCAGAAATGAAATGGTTGTGTTAAGGCATTAGGATGATGGGATTTTTTTTCCTCCCTTAAACCGTTTGTTTATGGTAGGATATGTGTTCATACTCAGTATATATTTCATTTTTAAAGAAAAATATGAAAAAATATAGTCCTTCAGATGTAGGTCCCCATTTGTTTATCTTTGTATTTTTCACAGCATTTTACACATAGCAAGATCTCAAAGTTTATGTTTTAATTGCATAAAGTTCAAGGTAAAATTTCTTTTTTTTTTATTTTGAGAAAGGAAACTTTAGTTTAAGAGGATATTGATCATATCACTTTGGTTTTCTTTGTAGGATTTTAAGCTTGATTTTGGCAATTCCCAAGGCAAAGCAAGTGAAACTTGGCATGGAGGCATAGCCACCATTTATGAAAGTCCTGGCGACGAAGTATGGGGAGTAGTATGGAAAATGAACAAAAGCAATTTAAGTTCTCTGGATAAGTAGGTGGCTTCTCATTATAAGTTAAATCATCACAAGTGGAGCATATGCAAGGATGTAGATGTATATATGTATGTGTTGGTTTTTCAAAACCGTATATTACATATTCTTTACACTTTAGAGTGAACATAAAAGGTATAATGTGCCTTTCCTAAAAAGAACAGCTTAGAATGGTCACACTTTCTGATTGAGATTGGGGAGGGGCGGGCGGGGTGACATATGTAATCTGAACTGTAAAAGATGGAAGTCCTTATTTTCACTCTACTTGTCTTTTATAAAAATCTTTGTAGTTTCATTATTGTGAAAAGGCATGCATATTTTTGTAATTGTTACATATTTTTTATCGATTTCTAAAGCAATTGTTCCATTTGTATTACAGCCATTTTTAAAAACTAATTCTTTAAGATGGTAGTTGGATCAGTAAAAGAGTAATAATAATGTGTAAAAACTTTAACAACCTATTAGAAATGCTTTGATACTTTCTCTAACTAGAATTCCCAAAAGTTGTGTGACAGAGCATTTAATACAAAGAAAATGGACAGAAAAGAGTAGGAACTTGAGAAGAGCAGATGACCTGACATGCTTGACACTTGACCTCGCTTATGAGTGGATAGTCTCTTACTGTCAGAACACATAGTCTGGTTTTTGTAGCCTAGAGAGCAATGTTTCAGATGTATAATGATTAATTAACCACATTGAAGCATGTTTTTATGTAGGATAAATACAGAGATCTGTTAGAAGTATACCAAGTGCGAGTAATAGTAAGTCTCAGGCTTTCTAATTGAAATGCTGTTTACTTTTGGTGTGGTAATATTATAATATGTTCTGCTATATCCCAAAATACATAAGGAGAAAATACATCCATCTATAGTTAAAATTTTAATCCAGTAAACTAATGTGGCCAAGTTAAGTATGGTTAAAATTTGGCTGTTCTTGTTTCAGGCAAGAAGGGGTTAATAGTGGAACGTATGTCCCAATAGAAATTAGTGTTTACACTCAAGAAGGAAAAGAAATTACCTGTCGAAGTTATCAGATGAAAAATTACGAGAGAGCTCCCCCATCACCCCAGTATATAAAGGTAAGCTATTTACAAAGATTTTTAGTGATTCCTTTTAATTTTCATTCAGCTGCACTAAAGAATATCTTGTTTTTAAAAGGCTTTGGGTGTTTTAAATTCTACATGAACAATTCATTTTAATCAAAAAATTTTAATACAAAAATGATAGTTATTTACTTAAAGTGCAAATTCAAAACTGTTTAGATTTAATTGCAATGATAGAACTGTTTCTAAAACTTTGTTTATTTTAAAAAAAGCTTTTAGAAATATACATGAGTCATAATTTTAGATACGTATTTTCTTTCTTAAAGTAGATAATAATATGCAAGGTATATTTTTAGTAAACTTATTCTATACACACGGTTTTGTAATCATTTTTTTCTTCCAAAATATGAACACTAAGATTCATTTCAATGGGGAAAAAATATATTTTCATCCCTAGATGGAGAAAAATAAAAAAGTCACACTGCCTTTCATGATCAGAGAAATTACTCCCCACAAGCACAGGAAACGAATGTGGGGTACAGACCCCAACATCCCTTTTCAGAAATCCAAACTTAGGTGTTGTTGGCAGGCCCAATAAGATCATGGCACCAGAGTGGGTGACCTAGTTCCTGGGCCTAATGTGGAATTTTCTAGCATGGAACATACAGGAATTGGCCTGGTATGGACCTGGTATGCTCTGCTGAACACAGTTACCCTTTATTGCCTCATGTCTAGCTCAGGTAGAGTAGATGCTGGGTTTCAACTAAAAGTCCCTGTAAACTTTAAAATTTTTTTGAAGAATGGTATCTTTTTCTTAAAAGATCTTGCAAAGTCTGTACAATAAGTTTTTGTCAATATAAAAATACTTTAAATCACACTATTGAATAAAATTGATATTCCATGAGGTCGTATCATGTGGCTTTGAAAACGTCTTGCACGTTCCTCCTCAATGAGAGAGGAATGACTGTGTCTCATACATTATGTTCCATAACTGTTTCTTCTAGAGTTATCGTAGAGTTATCTGAAAGCTAATATTTCATACTTTGCTACTGCAAATAAAGCTGCAGTATTCTAAGTTAAATTATGATCCTAACGAAAAGGGGTGTTTTTGTTTATTTTAACCATTTCTAGGTCATTTGCATGGGTGCAAAAGAGAACGGTTTGCCACCGGAGTATCAAAAGAAGTTAAATGCAATAGAACCAAATGACTACAAAGGAAAGGTCTCAGAAGAAATTGAAGACATTATCCAAAAAGGGGAAGCAAAACTCATTAGACCATAATTGAATATATCAACGGATGTTTTTTCTATGTGCTAATATACTTTTAACATTTGAAAGAGGGATTTGGGATATCTCTACATTTAATATATTTTCAACAATGCTCTGAAGGGCTATCTCACTTGAGTAACTCCCTCTTTTCAGACTATGAAAGATACTGGGTCAGGAGTTAGACAATTGCAAAGGGGGCTGTGAGGCCCTGGAATGCATGATAAATGGCTCTGGGTACTTCTTCTGTGAACATTGAAAGTTATTTTCTTGAGTTGATCTGAAGTGTATTCTTGCTCTGTGACAAAGGGTAGATTTGCAACTTAATGATGGTGCTGGTGAATCACTCTGCTCTGGAATTTTTCTTATCAGCTTAAGAGCTAGCCAACTGCAGAGATAGTTGGTAATAAAATTGTTTAAATTGAAAAGCTGTCTTGCTGTTCTTAGATGAATAAACGTATTTGTGGTTTAACCTGCCCTCCCTACTCAAGTTCCTCATTTCATTTTTGTTAGAGAGAGTCACATCATCACACACAGTGGGTCTGCTCTTGGCCATACCCGGTCTGTGCTCGAGGACTGTTGCACAGCCTCTGGAGCCAGCCAGCCGAGGATCAGTGTGAGCTCCACCACTCTCCAGCGGGGAAAGTTTGGCTATTTGGCTCTGTGCCTCAGTTTCCTCACCTGTAGAAACAGGACGCCAAAACACCTATGTCTTAGGATTGTTCTGAGGAGCAAATGTATGTAATGAGCTTCGAGCAGAGCCCCCCCCCCCAGATAATAGGTATTAGCCATCATTATTGTCCTTATCGAAGAAGTAAGTCTGTAAGGGCCAACCTTGAAATGGGATTTTAAAGGAGAAGAGTCAAGGTGATGAGGGAAAAACGTTTTCTGGAAGCCACAATTTAATTCTTGGCTTTTCAAGAAATGGTCACCTTTGTAAATTTATTTACTGAATAAAGGGAGGAAGGAAGAGTCATGAATAAAACAATGCTGGTTGTCAAACAATCTCCTGGTTCTGGAAGGCAGTGAGCTAGACCTGCAAAGCAGGTTATTAGAATGAGAGTGGACGAGCTACAGGAGCATCAAATAAAGATTTGGTTTGTTCTCTTGGGAAAAAATGACCAAAGGACTTTTCAGTTACAGCTGCAATTCTGGAGTTAGACCTGTTTATAGCTGTTACACCTCACTATTTTCAAGCATATCCTCCAATATTCTAGTATTCTTGAGTTCTTAACTCCTCCTCCGAAGACCGCGTTTGTCAGTGCTCTGGAACCCAGTTATGGTAATATAGTGACTAGGGCTCATTTTTGCTGTAGATACTATAAATTGAATATTATTCTAATAATCTAGCTCACCTAAAATGACAGCTTTCGTTAAGGAATTTAGAACACTAGCAATAAAACCTTCATGTCCGGCCTTTTAACAAAAATCTAATAACCCTGAGGAATAGTTTTTCCAGTCATTCCATTCTCAAGGTGATACTACCAAATGTCATAGGTAAGGGATTTCCGTTTCTACCCGTGATTTTAGCCCTCTAACCACATTACAGACCAATTCTTGGATAAACCTTAACAATCGTAGTTTTTGAAAAGCATTTCTGGGCTTGCACGGAAATAAGAAAATCTTCAAAGTGTACCAATCTCTTTCCCACAAAAAGAAGAAAGCTTCTGTGAGCTAAGGGATAGATGGTAGTGGTAAACAAACGACCCTGATGCCCTTGAGTACTAATGCCAGTAACAGCCCTGGAATTAGACAACTAACCCTTGAGCACCTGCTGCAGGACAGGAAAATGGAACCTAAGAATTCATCTGAAACTAGGACCCTTGAAGAGAGCTAGAATGACCCTCAGATAGTAAGCCTTGCGGCTCCCAGCAGAGGCAGATGCAAATCCTCTGAAGAAAGCAATCCTAACTTAGATCCTCATTTCCACTTAAAATTTAAGAGATAAATGATACATCATGAGTGAGAACAGAAAAAAAAATTAACTCCCCAAGGTTTTGAGATATCAAAATGATCAAAAGCAACTTAAAAGGAGCCTTCTGGGAAGATGGAGTAGACATA